CTGTTTCCAATTTTCCTATTTTTGTTGAGGACACCACTATTGTTACAGGCCCTCACACTCCAAACCTTGAGGTCATCTTGGACTTCTCTCTCTCACCACATTCATGTCAATTCTGCTTGCAAAATCACCGTTATAACTATCCTCTCCTCCTTACTAACACCTCCATCACTCTAATTCAGGCCTGCCACTACTCTTTCCTCTATGCTTTTGTGTAGAAAGGATAGATAGATAGATAGATAGATAGATAGATAGATAGATAGATAGATTTTATAGAAACTATTGGCTCTGTTCTCTCCCCTCTCCAGTCCCTCCTTCATACAACTGCCACAATTGCCCCACAATCTTCCTAATGCACAATCTTTGTCACTTCTCCACTCAAAGGCCCTCAGCTCCTTGTCTATAGGATAAAATATAAACTCCTTAACCTGTCATTTAAAGGCCTTGAGAATGTTATTCCAAACCACCTTTTTCACACTTATTTCACGCTACTTCCCTTCAAGTACTCTACTTTATAGTCAACCTTGATTATTTTTCTTAAACTTAGCATTTGAGTTTCCCCATCCCTGGAATACACTCCCTTCATTTCTACCTATTAAAAACTTTCTATTTCTTTAAGGAAAAGTTCAGGTGCCAACACCCTTCATGAAACATCTCCCCAGTGAACTTGATTTCTCTCTCCTTAAAATTTCTACAATATTTTTCCCGATTTCCCTTTTGCTCTTATCACTTTCTTCTACCTTGCATTATGTTTAACCATGTACATGTTGTCTCTCTCTAGTAAATGCCTTGACATAAGAGGATATTTGTTGTTTTCCAGCATTGTTATCTCCAGGGCATTGTGCATTAACGGTACATGGTTAATAAACATTTTTGATCAATCAATTAATAAGCATTTATTAAGTGCCTACTATGCGTCAGGCACCATGATAGGTGCTGGAGATGTGAACGAGGAATGAAACAATACACATTCCTAAGGAGCTTAAATGAATGAATAAATGAAATATTCAAACAAAAGCAACAATCTATCAATTTGTACCATTCTCCCAGATACCCAGGTTCACAACCTTGGTGTCATCCTGTACTCCCCACTCTCTTTCTCTGTCACCACTCATATATAATCTGCTGTCAAGTCTTGACCTTGGCAATATCTTTAACCTGTCTCATATGCTCCCATTCTCAGTACTGCCCTACACCATGCCCTACTCACTTCATGTCCTGACTATTGCAATAACTTTCTGATAGGTCTCCCTACCTCAAGTCTCTCCCCATTCCAGTCCATTCTCCATTCAGCAGTCAAATTGATCTTTCTAAACTGCAAGAATGACCATATTACCTCTCTATCCAATAAACTCCATTGAACTCCCTATCACCTTCAGGATCTAACATTAAATCCTCTGTTGATGTTCAAAACTCTTTATAACCTGGTGTCCTTTCCAGTCTTCTTATACCTTACTCTACCCCACATATTCTTTGGTCCAGTTAACATTGGCCTCTTTGCTGTTCATCTCACAAAACAGTCCATCTCTTGATCCTAAGCATTTTCTCTGACTGTCTCCCATGCCTGGAATTCTCTCTCTCCTAACGTCCTCCTCTCTTAACTTCACTGGTTTCCTTCAAGTTCCTGCCTAAAACCCCAGCTTCTACAAGAAACCTTTTTCAATCTCCCTTAATGCTAGTGCCTTCCTTTTGTTGATTTTCTCCAGTTTATCCTGAGAATATCATTTCTGAACATATTTTTCTGCATGTGGCCTCCCCAATTATATTATGAATACCTTGAGAGCAGGTGATGTCTTTTGCCTTTCTTTGTATCCCCAATACTTAACACAGTTCCTGACATATGCTAGATGCTTATTAAATGGTTGTTGACTTCTTGACTTGCTGAAGGTAAATTATAATCACTTGAAAAAATGTTCAACCACCAAAGAAA